ATGTTACTTGTAGTATAAACAAAACCGCCTCCCCCTCCACCCGTACCAGCATTGTCCTCTACAGATAGCCCTAGCTGAGCTGCTGTCTGGGTAGTCCTCCTTCCTCCTTTCACCTCCACCGAGTTTCCTCCTCTCTGTCCCACCACAATATTCAGCACTGTTCCTTTAGTCAGTCTGAACTTGCCTTCAATGTACGCACCCTTGCCGCCATAGTAAGTTCCGGGATTGTATCCATAGTTGTACGAATGTGTTCCTCCCCGGGCTCCCCAGGCTTTGATGAGATAGCGGGCGCTTCTGGGAACGGTGAATTTCTGAATGACGCCAACTCGTCCCTTTCCTCCTTTAGTTGTAAACTGAAAGGAACCTATAAGAAAGAACAAATAAAAATGAAGAATAGGACATGACTCCTGCAATTAATCAAGAAGAAGATATAAGTCAAGTCTGCGTTCGAGTCCACAGGCCCATCAGGCAGGAACTTATCTCCGGTTTCTATGGCGTGAAGTGATTAAGATAATAGAGAGTTAAGCATTGCGTTTATGGCAGACGGCAAACGGCAAACGGCATACGGCAAACGGCAAACGGCATACGGCAAACGGCAAAGACTACCTCTGATTGTTTATTCTTTTCTTGTAATCCTTAAATCACACAAAAACAGAAATATGTCCCCTACTATTCACTGCAAATACTAATATTTTCACTCGACTGTACAGACAGCTGAAGACAGACGGCAAAAGTTTCATTTTTGCCGCTTGCTGTCTCTCTAATTTCTACTCATCGGCGAGATAGGATGCTATTACATCACAGGGCTATTGCTGATTTTCATGTGACGAAATCATCTTCCAAATAAATAAATACTAATCTTTATGGGGTTTATTTAGATCCTCTAAGAACCTGGCGTTTCACGACTTTAAGCTCAAAATGGTTCCTCATTTTGTTATCATGGAGCACGTAAGAGCTTTCAAGGTTGCGTTGTGTGACAATAAAATGGCGGTCCGGGTAAGACTCTCGCGTAGGTCAAAAGATGAGCTTTCGCTCAAGATTTTGCTAACTAAACAGTTCTTGCACTAGAAGCATTACAAGTGGGAAGTCTTAAAAAAAAAAACCTTGTTGTCAGTTTCTTACATTTTTGGGATTTTATTTGACCCTGTACGTCTCAAAAGGAGATTTGGTAAAAAACTTTTAGAAGAAGTAGTTCAAGTGAAATGTACACTTTTAACCTAACAGAGCTTACTTTCACGTGAACCAAGCCTCATCCCAAAACACAGCCAAGTGGTAACACGGAAAGGACCTATTATTCGATCCTCGTAGATACTTCTTACTAACCGAGTTCGAGGGCCGTACTGTAAGTTACGGACCCAGCTTTTTCCTCATCGATTTATGGCCCAAGCGCGAAGCGCGCAGGCCATAAATCGATGGGGAAAAAACCGTAATTTACGGTACGGACCGAGAAAACGAGGTTAGTAAGATTTTCATTACATCTCTGCTGTGTGTCTGACGGGTTCGGGAACGATTTCTATTCACGCGGAAAGGCTTCAAATTTCTGACGCACGTCGAAAGCAAAAAGAGTCAATTTGAAATTTTTGTTAAGTGACTCTTAAGTCGTTAGTAGCTTTTAATACAAAATTTCAGAAGTAAAAGAAAGGTTTAAACTTTTTTGGCTAAAACAGGTAAGAACACTTGACGATAAATCACGAAAGATTTTGGCAACAAAAAGAGCTTATTTAGCTGGCCGCACGGTAGATTACGGCCAATACAGAAAAGCAAACACATTTATAAAGATCTTAAAACTGCATGGTAAATGGTAACATAAAAGCCATTTTTGGTATGTTTGTAATAACAAAATCGTTGCAACAGCGCTTTTAGCGTCTCTGACAGCCTTCCTCAGGTTCAGCTAAAATATAATCTAAATACCTTTTGCTCACAACCAGAAACTAATCATGTGTTGATTAGGCTTGCCACTTCCATTTCATAACAAAATATGGGGGTAACCACGCGTTTTTGAAAGTTATTGATCTGTTTTGAAAACTTTTACGGTGCTTGCTACATTTTCTTCTTCCTGTCACCTCCCCGGTAAGTAAAACATTTGCGTATCTCGCACTTGTTTTGCGTGCGCACTACGCAATCTGCAGGTACATGTTTACAGTCGGATTTCAATATAATTTTCGACCGATAACAGCTAGTTTTTCAGCTGGAAAACGTTAATAGTTAGAGGTTAGCGATATGCAACTATTCTAGTGTTCCTGGTTTAAGTACAGGCTCATTAAACTTGATTTGGTCACAGTAGGAAAATTTTGCTTTCATTTTAGTCGTGTACTTGGTAGCGTAGTTGATTGCGTCAATGTCAACCCCAGCGCGCTCGTGGCACTTAAATCATGCCTTGCGTGATGCGCAGAACGTATGCGCACTAACAAAAGTAGGCACCGTCCTTAAAGTCCCTATTCCCCGGTACGGCCCTTGGGTTCGGTTAGTAAGAAGTTAATATTATAATAAATACTATAATTTGCATGATCTAACATATATTTTTCCTTAATAATGGAGTCATGACTATACTCCGAAACACCGGATTTTATCGCTCGTTTTACCGTTTTATAAATATTATAACAAGAGGCAAAAATAACGCTAGACTTTGCATTTTTGGGCATCAAGTTAACTATTTTTACCGAGTTGAGTAGGAAACGACTTTTATAGGGTCGTTAGCAGAGTAAGCTTGGAGCGGCCCCTTCAGCCCCAGCCCCTTGAAGTCCTTTTCTTTCCTAACAAAAGGCCGGTAGCTTAAAGTACTGCTGGTTTCCCCTTCACTGGAATGCAAGTCTATTGCATTTTTGGTTTGTTTTACCAACAATTAAGAAGTTGGAAATCATTTATAATCTTGATTGGACTAGGAGAAACGTTAGGGGACTTTAGATTTGAGTACGCGTACGAGATGGAGTACGAAAACGACTTTTCAATTCTAGTTTGCAGGCTTCATATTATCAAATCACATAACCATCTCATTCCGTGAGCTACCCTCTCTACCTTTAAAAAACCGACATGAAGAGCGAGGGCTCTGGAAATATCACTGGTTTGAAATTCGAAAATCGTACTCGTAGTCCAATCTAAAGCTCCCTAATGTGTGAGAGTTGTTTCGAACTAACGGCCGAGATTCATTCGGAGGCGGCTTTTATAATGCGGTAATATAGCATTATTGCATCCTCCACATTTCAAACCTAACCTGCCCAAAAAGCTTTTAACGTATTTGGTTATGAATGAATGAATGAATGCTTTATTTAACGTGGATATACGCTTAGCTTGAGAGCTAGTTTACAGGTATTCCACCTAATAACTAAGAACCTAACAACTAAACAACGTTAATATCACAATTCATCAGGTGAAAATCACAAATTAAATACTTATTAAAACTATTCACAACTATTGTAACAATATTCCCGCCGCAGTCAAAATACTATTAAAACTAATGTCACAAATTTACTAATCCCCGAAAATTTAGCGATCTAATTCTGTTTACTATTTCA